AACTGAATGCTGAAGAGATCACTTTCATGGGTCACAAGCTAACATTACGTGCATTGGAGATCGACCCCGAGAAGGTCAAAGCCATTGTCAACATGGATGCACCTTCAGACGTGGGTGGAGTCCTGCGGTTTTTTGGAATGGTGAACTATCTGGCAAGGTTTGTGCCAGGTACGTCCGACATCATGGAGCCGCTCAGGAGACTGACAGCTAAGAATGCAGAGTGGGCGTGGACTAATGAGCAGTACAGAGCATTCAACAAGGTGAAAGAACTGCTGTCTTCACCACCGGTCCTCAAGTTCTATGACCCATACAAGGAACTCTCAATACAGTGTGATGCAAGCGAGAAAGGCTTGGGAGCCGTTCTGCTGCAAGAGGGCTCTCCAATCTGCTATGCCAGCCGAGCTCTGACGGCAACTGAGACTAGGTATGCTCAGATAGAGAAAGAGATGTTGGCCATCTGCTTTGGTCTAAACAAGTTCCACCAGTATACCTTTGGCAGACATACCACTGTGATCTCCGACGACAATCCACTGCAGAGCATCACAAAAAAAAGCCCTGGACAAAGTACCCAAGCGGCTACAAAGCATGTTGCTGCAAGTGCAGAGATACGACTTCACGGTCAAGTACTGCCAAGGCAAACAATTGGTTGTGGCAGATACAATGTCAAGAGCCTAGTTGAAAGACACAGGTTGTGACTCACCTGCAGAGGAAGTCAATGTTGTCTGTTGTCGGCGCATAAAGCCTACAACGCTTGAGACAATCAAGGAACAGTCCCGAAGTGACCAACTGCTGCAAAACCTGACACGATTAATCCTGAAAGGATGGCCAAAAGAGAAGTCAAGTCTTCCGGAAGAAACCTCTGCATACTTCAACTTTCGTGATGAACTTGCAGTTGAGGACGGTGTGGTCTATAAGGGACAGAGAGCAGTCATACCTCTGAGTATGCGTGCTGACATAAAGCAAACCCTCCATGCGTCGCACCTGGGGATAGAGAGCTGCCTTCGAAGGGCAAGGGAAAGTGTCTTTTGGCCCGGAATGAATGCTGAAATCAAGGATTTCATTCGGTCCTGTGAGGTATGCCAGAGGCACAGCCTTGCGCAACTGAAGGAACCTTTGATGCCTCATCGGCAGCCAGCGTATCCATGGGAGAGAGTCGGCACCGACATCATGGAATACAAGAATCGGAACTTCCTCGTGACTGTTGATTACTTCAGCAACTTCTGGGAGGTGCATGAACTGACTTCAACTACAGCTTCTGCAGTCATAAGGAAACTCAAGGCACACTTTGCCAGGTATGGCATACCTGCAGTGCTCATGAGCGACAACGGTCCTCAGTTTTCCACTGCTGAATTTGCTGGGTTTGCTACTCAGTGGCAGTTCACACACAACAGCTCAAGTCCAGGTCATGCCCAATCCAACGGAATAGTTGAATCAACTGTCAAGACCGCAAAGTCGCTTCTCAAGAAGGCCCTGGAGAGTGGTCATGATCCACAGTTGTCTTTTCTGGATCACCGCAACACCCCATGCCATAGCAGAAAGGCAAGCCCAGCACAACTACTGATGGGCAGGAGGACTCGGACCACGCTACCGACAACAAATGCACTCTTGAAGCCACGCACTCTAAACCGACGAACAGAGTGGAAGAACAAGACAAGACGCATGCAAGACTACTACAACAAGACTGCGAGAGAACTTCCAACTTTGAAAAAAAAGGACTTTGTCAGAGTTCAACCGTTTACCCCTGGATCACAATGGGAAAAAGGTACGGTCATGGAACCTGTGACAACCAGATCGTACAACGTAAACATCCACGGCAAAACACTGAGAAGGAACAGGGTACATCTACGACAAGTTCCTGCACCTGGCCAAATGGCAGCAAGCTCAGTGAAGAACCCAACAACTATGCAAGAGGTGACTACTGGCACAGACGCTGCTGATACAGTGTCAGAACCAGCACCAGTCGCACTGCATGAATCAACTAGCAGTCAATCGCCAAAGACGGCGGATGCTAGGAAAGACAGCTCACAAGAACCATCGGTACAGCGCACACCCCGACCTGTTATGAAGAAGCTGTTACCGCGACACCTCAGTGACTTTGTAGTGTCATAGTTGAGACTGTCTTCTTTACCTCAAAGAAAAGAGGATGTTACAATATGTTATAGTTTCGTTCTGACTTTGGTTTCGAAGAGCTATCATCATCATGAGTAGGCAATAAACAGGGCGGTTCAGTAAACATGCAGCCTCGTGGGTCTCCTATAAAAAGACGCACAAAACAATACCCATTTTTTTTTTTGCTTTCAAGTGCAGTGAAGTATGAAGCATTGAACACCACGAGTGAGGCCGGACAGGACGAACGTACACAGATATCTGAATCATGCCCGTGTATTTCAGTATTTCTCTGTCTTGGGATATATGATTCGCCTTCACTGGCTCATTTGGCACATTTCATCGAGCATACTCGATAAAAAAGGCTTCAAGCAAGTGTGTGTCATCCAAGGTGGAGTACTTTGAAGGGGACTAGGATTTCAGGCCTTTCGGCACGCGTTCCTTTTACCCATATAAAAGATTCCAAGTAAATTTCCAAAAATAAGGCGTTGGCAAACATACACGTGCTACTTTCGGTTTAGATTTTTTTTTTTTTTTTTAGGAAAAGTATTGCTGGAGAAGCCATCAGGTGCAGTGCAGAGAACTATGTTCTCGGCGTTCTTTGCTGCTTGAGGCCGGTTCAGGCACTTGCGTTTAAATGCGTTTGACAGCGTTTCGTCGAGAACCGAAAGTGACTCACCGGCACATCTGTGCTTCGTATGAAGCGTGGAATCCAAATCAAGGAATCGCCTTGGCAGGCGATATAAGCAGCAGGGATGCCCTGGTTTCTCGCAGCTGCAATGCAGTCAAGCGCAACTGTCTGAACCAGGCTTCAGATCATTTAGCATACGTATTTCGCGTTCGCTGTAGGTGAAGGCACGGACCCGAAAACGGCAATTCTGCACTGGCCTCTTGGCGGGAGCGCGAGCGCATAGAACGCATATTTGAAAGACAAGCGTTGAGCAGAAACAATTGTAGCGAAAAGAAGAAAACTGAAACAACGCTTTGGGGAGGACCGGCGGACGGGCTTCGCTAGAATCACGTGCGCGCGCTCAGTGTACTCAACATTTACTCAACCGCCGCTGAACTGGCTGAAATCATTCGGATATGCAAAAAGAAAAAAAGAAAATGCATCAGCGTGTTTAGAAAGTTGTGATTGCGAAAATTGGTTTCGATAATTAATACAATTAATGAAACGGGCTTCTGTATACTTGACGTGTAGGCAAGCGAGAAAACGAAACTGATCAAAACGTGATGTGTAGCGACAATTCAATTTGAAAAAAAAAAATGGGTTCTGTGTGTGTTTATACAGTCTAGAACTTGGTCTGCCTCACAGGGGCGACGAGTCTCCCAGCTGTAGATGAGAAATTTAGCCAGTGCGGTACAACCGCTAGCCTGGGGTCTTTAACGTGCATCACGCAGTAGTGATACACGACCGCACGCCGGTACGATGCTCATCCAGATCGAAACGGGCAGGGGTGGGGCAATTCAATTTGATTTATAACCTGCAGTGCACTTTTGCAATGGATTACATTAGAGATACGAGCGCTTTCCTAAGGGCAGTAGAGGAAAATAATATATACGGATAGATCTTGCACAGTTTTTTTGTATTTATGCAAAATATGACAGTGGTCTCCATCCTAACCGGTCACAGAAAATACAGTAGTATATAAGCTGGTGGTGTCGACTAGTCATGTATATAGGAATGTAGAGTGTCAATATCTCATGTTGTACCTTGTGCTGTTTGTGAACGCGTTCATGTATAATGTTGTATGGTGTCTGTTTGTCGCGTTTGTGTGAAGTGTGGTGTGGAAAATGCAGTACGTGCATGTCTGGCGAGGCGCTCAGAGCAAAGGCGGATGGTTTCTTTTTTCTTAGTTTGAGCGCTGTCCGTTAGGTGGCGCGTGTCGCCGCCCAATTCAAGGAGTCGCGCGCTTATGTGTCTACTTATTTAAGTGAAAAACATAGAGCCGCTCCATGGCTCCACGGAGCAGCCACAAAGGGTTCGGTTCTCGGCCTGTCGTGCTCTCGTCTCAGTGGGATCAGTCCCATAGCCAGTTGAATGGGTGTTCCGTGCGGTGAATAGTGCGTGCACAGACGCGGTGGGGATTACCAGGGACTTGAGAGTGGATAATGAACGCTAACAGGTGAGCAGGAGCGTTGAACGATCGGAACCGACGCCGCTTGAATCGGTGATGCCTCGCCTCGCCGCTGTCAACCGAAAACGCCGGATCACTTGCGGCAAGCACGGCAAGCAGATTCTCTGTTCAATAAAGACATCATTTCATTTGTCGCTATACGATTGCTTCTTTGAATGTTTTCTGGCCGCGAAGTAAATGCAGCCGGCTGCGCAAAAGCAGTCGCGGACAAACCCCCTCGAATGCCCCCTCACATCGCCGCCCCTACTCGTAATAGGTGCGGTGCCGGTGCTTCGAGACGTGATTTGGAGTGCTTTAGTGCGCACGGAAGGCAGTGAACGGGCGTGCGCACTTGAGAATCGTATTTTAGCAAAAAGCAGTCCAGCTCGCCAGGCCTTACTCGTATTGCTCCACTGTCGCTTGCCAGCCGCCAGTTGCTTTTGGGGTGCTTACTGTGACTACCTGTTTATTGCACGCCGCGTGACTACCCATGGGGTCGTTAGTATTACTAAAAGGGGGGGGGGGGGGGGGTAGCGATATCTCTGACGGCTTCTGACTACCCCAAATGTAGTACCCTACGACGACCCTTTTGTTGAAAGTGTAGGTCACGTGGTGCAACTTCGTACGCTATATTTTTGGGGAAAATGCACGGACGGGCGGACGGAAAAAATTTCGGGATTGAGGATAGCGTTATAATGAATTTCATTCTTTAATATTAATTTCGGTCATTATCATAATGCTACAGTCACTGTCGCTTCAGCGACCGCAACGAATAGTTACCCTCGACGGGATTCGAACCCGCAATCTTCGGTTCAGGAGACCGATGCCTTATCCCCTTAGGCCACGAGGGCTTCCTGTTCGCGCGGCCTTTATGCCAACACACCATTACAAGACATACAGAACAACGGCAAACTAGACCAACCAAATAGTCCATGGCTAGGCAACGAAGGCCACGTGGCATCATTGAAGTACACAGACCTGATGTAGAAAGTGGCTTGAATTGCTAACGATTTCTGGTCGAGGCTGGACGGCTATTGTGGCAATTTAGTAGTTAAGATAATATTTAGATCGTGCGTCCCACAACTATATTAATCACTTTCTTAGGGCTCGGCTTCATATAAACATCATTAGAATCAAATGAATGCACAGAGAGCAATATGAAAAGCAACGCCCCGAGCTCTTTTTCTCCAGAGTCGTATAATGCATGGTGTGCAGTGTTTAAGAGACGTAGTTTTCATTTGTTTAGGAGGCATTAAACAGTCGTATGGGGTAACAATTACCAACATATTGTTCTTGCTTTTTTTTAGTTCAGTTTTGGGAAAAACTTATGCCACGTGATACCGCAACTTGACACCGTTACGTCACTTCACGTTAATACGTTGTGTATCGCAGGCCAGGGGGCGGCACAACGTGACGTCAATTTCTTCTCCAACTCTAACCAGGAAACTTGCGTCACACGACATACTAACGTGACCTGCTCACTTAACTGGACGTCACGTGGCGCCATGTCACGTGACGTTAATTGTTGAAAAAATTTAGAGGGGCAATTAACCCCACGGTGTCAAATCAAGGTGTCGGGTGACATCAATTTTTCCGATAAATTAAAAAAGAAAGCTTTGATTGACACCCTGCGACGTCCTCAAATGACGTGACACTACCGTGTAAAGTCGTGGTATCACGTGATCATGTTAGGGCTTAGGACGTTAATTTTGACGCTAAATTTAGCGTCGAAATGAACGGACGGACGGCCGGACGGACGTACTGACGGATACATTCTTGGTATTAGTGGTTTCATTATAAACATTCCGCGCATTAAAATATCGGTTGCATATCGAAATAGGCAGATCGAAGCATACAATGTAGTTAGGCTTCTGCAGTAAAAATATTTTGAAATCTGCAATAACAAGGTTACAGTCTAGCGGATAATTGTTCCGTTGAACCGATCCGGAAAAAAAAGAAAAAAAGGTCCGCATTGTTCATTGCCTCCACCGTGCTAGGGAAACCCGCGACATACTGGCTCTCTTTGGAGTAATTAAGCTAAGGATGGCGCTGCGCTATTCGTTTGGTCCAACTATTCGCAAACCTTTACATTATTCGAAATTGTTCTAAGTAATTTCGGAAAATCTATACAAATCTACGGTATTCGGATACTCACGCTCGTTTATTCAAAACTACGTGTACAAATACTAAGATGGTTATATAGTCAAGCATGTTAGAATTTAGACACCACTTGAGTCAAGAACCTGTTTTATACAAATTGATAAATAAAGAAATGAATGAAAAGAGCACGTATTTGGGTGACCCACGAGTATACGTTGTCTTAAAGAACATTAAATAAAACTACCGACCAATGCCCAAACGATTCCAGTAGCCCTTCTTCTCCTCGGCGCAAGGCGTTGTGCAAGGGCGAAACCTGACAGTAGACCGTGTTTCCCCCTCCGCTAAGCCCCTCCGCTAGCCAGAACTCCACAGCCAAGGCCATCGGCACGCAGGCGCAGTGGCGGTTTCTTGGTTGCGGAGGGCTTAGCGGAGGAGAAAACACGGTCTACTAAAACTCCCTACTACCTGGGCAGATGGTATCGGCTATAGGGAAAGAGTTTTTTGAATGATCCAACTGAGTCAGCTAGCTGTGGCGCCGCTTTCTAATCCACATTAGTTTCTGTCAAAAGGCGTTTCCACGTCAGATCGTGCACTGACTGTGCCGGTCATATTTCTGAGTATTTTACAGCGGAGCTGTTATGGGCTAGGTTCCCGAGGATCGTGTCCGGTACAAAACAATTGTCGACAAAAACGCCTCTGGACAGGTACCGCCATCTATAAGCGACGGCGGCAAGCACACAACCAGCATGGTTGCCGCCGTCGCTGGTAGATGGCGCCAACCTTTCCAGCTATCTAGAGTTCCTGTATAGGCTCCCTACGGGAGCCGGAGTTGCGCGTTCATGCATGGCATGTGGATACAGCTCCTCACGTGACTGAATTCGGCGAATAGCAGCGCCGCGCGTTCGAGGCGCGCGGCGCGTTCAAAAGCCGGGGAACGTACGCCGGGGCGCGTGCAACGTCTACTTTGCTGAACGACGCTTGATACGGCTCCTCACGTGATCGGATCTCGGCGAAAAGCGGCGAGGGCGGCACGCAGCACGTGGAATCAAACACGCAACTATGGCTCCCGTAGGGAGCCTATACAGAAACTCTACATCTATCTAGAGTTCCTCTATAGGCTACCTACGGGAGCCAGAGTTGCGCGCTCTTCACGTATCGCCGTCTTTCCTGCATGACGTGTTAATCCAGCTCCTCACGTGACTGAATTTGGCGAATAGCTGCGCCGCCCGTTCGAGGCGCGCGGCGCGCTCGAAAGCAGGGAACGTACGGCGGGGCGCGCGCAACGTCTACTTTCCTACACGGCACTTGATCCAGCTCCTCACGTGATCGGATCTCGGCGAATAGCGGCGCGGCGGCACGTGGAAAACAGACGCGCAACTCTGGCTCCCATAGGGAGCCTATACAGGAACTCTACAGCTATCATAGAAGAATGGATAGTTGGGCGGCGCGTTGGTGGGAATTCATCGTAGGAAACAGCGAGAAAAACAAACGACGACAAAGAAGAAGCACACGTAACGAGCGCAGCGCTCGTCACGTGTGTTTCTTCGTCCTCGTCTGTTTTGCGCGCCATTTCCTACGCTCTTATCAATTTCGGTTTGGACTCAGGATAGGTCAGCCGCGTGCGCTTTCGGGGAAGGGAGACAGGCTGCGGAAGGAGCGGCGACGTACGCAGCAGCGCGAATGGGTCCGTAACCGCCGCAAAGCCGCTATCGCCTCGACTTCCACTGCGTCGAGCACTTCAGATTCCCTTGCCAAAGAAGAGCACATTGTTCCCCTGAAAGCCGCCGCCGAGAAAAGAACCAGCGATGTAAAGGGCGCCGGCAGGCCAACGCCACGGACGACGATCGTGCCACGGAGGCCAAGCGCAAGCGCGAGGCCCAGCGACGAGTGCACTCCACGACGGCCAGTTCTCGGGCGTGACGGCGATGTTCCGGAGGGAGTTCGTGGATTACCCGCTTGGCGTCACGTGCGCCGTGTGCGACCGACTCTGGGTCGCCGGAGACGTATCCACGATCGGCGGCGTGTCGGACGAGAAGAAGCGGGAAACGGGTGCGAGCGCGTTGCGGCGGTGTGTCGAGTACAGCTCCGCTGGTCTTCCTTCTTCACGAGAGTGGAAAGGCTCAACGTTGTCTGTAAGAAATGTATGCGGAAGCCATGTTGTTGGGAGGAGCATTCGGGTATATGTGAGCGCCGCAGCTAAATACTTCTCAGATGTATAAATTTGAGAAGCTCGAGGCGTGGACATTGGCAAGATTTCACTGTGGTAATTTGCAGAACTGCCAATGTCACACCAAAGCAGAAACGTCGTTAAAAAATTAGTTTAATTTATAGACAATTTACAAGATGCAAACCAAATATTAAAAATTACAATCATATATTTTTATGCAAAAAAGAACAAGTACAAAACAAGTAAAAATTTCGTTTTGGACACCCAATTTCAGATATTTACCAACAAACAACCTACTGCGAAACGTCGCAAAATAGATAAAAGTGTGCGTCCTGAAATACAACATACAAATATACATGAAAAAAAATTGCTTCGCGTTATTGTAGTTTTGTTATTAATGAAGATATCTAAGTAATTTCGCTAAAAGTAGCAACCATTGCACGCCAATGAATAAAAAATACTACATCTTTTATTCCTTTTAAACTCTCCTTAACTCTTTACAGTATCTTGAACTAACTTGGGATGGCAAAATACTGATTAGTATATGACCTTCAATTGAGAAAAGCCAAAAAAACAAACCTTCACTCAAAATGAACTAGCTTGTCTTCGCTATAGGGGCTGCGTACGACGTCGGCTCCAAAAAGATAATCCCTAGAACCAACAAAGTGTGTACAAGGGTGCTGCTCTATTAAAGAGCGTATAAAGTCGTCATGGCGCTAGGAAGAATAAGAAAACGGACAACACAACACAAATTCTCAATAACAGCTGAGTTTATTCGACCGCACAAAAACAAGAAAAGATTAATTAGATAGGACATTACGGTTTCGAAGATTTGACTAGACGTGGCGCGAAAGACGAAGTCTCTACAACACTAGACACATTTCCGGCAACGAGCATCGACAAGGATAATCTCCCTCAAGGCTGCGATAGCAACTTCCTAATCTCCCGGTGTTATATTACGATGTTTCCTAACCAGCTCGGCTTGCGTGCGTTCACATTTCAGAAAGTCATACTGTCCCAAGCTTTGTTTTATCTTTCTGTTTCCTTGTGTTGCCTCCGAAGCCCCCCCCCCCCCCCCCCCCCCCCCCGCCTCTTATTTCATAAGAAGTTTCAACGGACGACACACTGCTCCCGGCAGTTGCGAACAGAATGAATAAAGGTTGCCTTGAACCTCAAGCGCGCACACAAGGAAGGTCAATCACTGCGTAAACAAGGCGAGGGAAGAATTCTTTGATATGTTCTCTCTAAATGCTAATGCGGAAGTTTCTGAATGCCTCACTCCAGGCTCCAAAGTTTTGGTTGACTAGGTGAAACCAAAACAGCAAAAAAAGTCTTGGTGGTTACATACTTCCCTCTGCATTCCTTGTGCGTAACTTTACACGTCGATACTTCGAAATGGTAAGCCGATGTTGTTTGTTTTCCTCCTCACAATGTTGAAGACCAAGGTAGCGACCCTCCAGATACTACTTCCCTCGCTTTGTTTACGTGGCGACTGGCCTTCCTAGTGTGCGCGCTTGTGTTTCAAGGCAACCGGCTATTTATACTTTTCGCAACTGTCAGCAGCAGTGGCATCCGCCGTCACTC